TGTGGTCGGTGGTGGGTCACGGGGGCTGCCTGTGTGAGGATGGCCATGAGGATGGCAGGGACTGGGACGGTCTCACTATGACAGGCTGGCCAGGGCGTGCTCACGTTGGCTGCGGAGTGAGGAGGGTGTGGGCAGAAGCTGGGAGCCTGAGGGTCCAAACCCTGCAGACCATCACTGTGTCTCCCCCCGGGCCCGCCCCCCCCCCCCCCCCCCACCAAAGCACCTCAAAGATCATCTGGCCTCGGAGGCATGCTCCTGGCAATGGGAGGGGCTCAGGGCTGGGCCGTGGCCAGTGGGAGGTGCAGCTCGGGACTGGAGGAGGCTATGAGGAGGAGGAGGGCTGTGACGGGGAGGCTGTGAGGATGGTGGAGTGGAGATCAGGAAGGGGCTGGGATCCTTACTTCTCTATGGAGTCACCATGCCAGCCTGGAACCCTGCCCGGTGTTGCCCCCGGTGGTCGGCGGCTGTCCCTGCCCTGCAGAACCTCCCTGGTTAGGAGGGAGCCCTTCCACCCGGACGCCATGTCCCCCGCACACCGGCTGTGGAGGCAGGAAGGGCCACCCTTGACTGAAGGTGGAACCCGCTGGGAGTGACTATGGCCTCCCCACAGGGTCAGCTTGTGGCCGGTCAGTCTCCAACCCCACCCCCTCTCACCCTCTTCCTGCATCCCTTTTCCTTGGAACTCCCACTAGGACCCCCGTCTCAGGCTCTGCCTCCAGCGACCCCACCCTGGACCCTACTCGCTGCTGCTGCCCACGGTGAGCCTCAGAGCAGAGTCCTGCCCACCCACAGCTCCTGGCTCAGGAGAACCCGGCACCAGATGCCATCCATTCTGCCCCTGGTCTGGGAGGGGGCAGAGGAGGGGCCGGGCACCGCCCCTGTGGGAAATGACCCCCTATCAGGCCAGGGGACGAGGCTGGCCGGAGGGCTCAGGAGGAGCGGCCCCGGGTGCCCAGATGCCCCCAGCCTGGGAGGCGCTGTGAACCCTGCCCCTTCCGCCCGCACGCCCAGGCCGGTTTGAAGTCTGCTGGACGGACAGCATTTGTAAGCAGCGCTCTGCCCGGCTCAGTTAATAATTTAGGAGCCAGGGCCTGCAGCCAACCCATCATTCCAGCCCCGCTGCACCCCGATCTCCGAGCCAGTGGGCAGGAAAGAAAAAATCACCGCGCCCGCCTGAAAAATGGCCCCACTCCAGTCCTGTGCAGCCTGTGCTGGGTGGGAGCGCGCGGTGTCTGGGCGAACGTGGGGAGGGGAGGCCCGTGGGCTCAGCTCACACACCGCCTCATGTTTGATGCTGGATCCTGGGCCACACTGGTGTGAACGTGGGAGGACCCAGCTGTCCTCCTCTGATTCAGCCTCTCCTTCTCCCCTCCCTCCTTGCTCGCTCATTCATTCGTTCGGCAATCACTGATGCCGCTGACCTGGAAGTGGGCAGCAGCGAGGATACACAGGGGGGGGGGAGGTCAGCACCCCCTCCCCCCGTTAAGGGAGGCAGACAGCACAGAGGGGCCTGCGGATGGCTGCAGCTGCTGCCTGGGTCAGAGGGGCCCTGAGTGGCCACAGCAGATGGGAGGAAAGAGAGGCTAACAGTTAAGACCACGGAGTCTGGGGTTAGGCTGCCTGGATTCAAATCCCAGCCCTGCCAACAACTTACAAAGAGTTAGCTGCCCCATGCCTCAGTTTCCCCATCTGTGAAGCGGAGTTACTAACGGAGGCATGCAAACCACCTTCTGTTGTTAACGTAATGAACAGGGGGTTAGTTCAAGTTCAAACATCCGGACCCGGTGACAGCACTGACCACTGTAAAGTTACTTTCAGGAAATTACTTGGTCATGTCTTTCTTTTTAAAAATATATTTTTTGAGTTTTTACAGAGAGGAAGAGGGAGGGATAGAGTCAGAAACATTGATGAGAGTGAAACATCGATCCCCTACTGGGGATGTGCCCGCAACCAATGTACATGCCCTTGACCGGAATCGAATCTGGGACTTCAGTCCAAAGGCCGACGCTCCACCACTGAGCCAACCGGTCAGGGCTTGGCCGTTTCCTATGAGGTTCAGCACTCGGCCCACCGACATCCCTCTCCTGGGTGTTTCCCTCGGCAACATGATCACACGCTCACAAAGCCCTGTGGGCAGTCGTTGGGAGTGGGGTGGGCGTTCAGAGACAGAGGGACGAGGGGCTTGGGCGAGTCCAGGCGAGGTGGCTGGAGGGGCGATGCTGGCAGCCGGAGAAGCCATGGCCGCAGAGAGCCGGGAACACGGGCAGCGCGGTGGACGGCCGGTGTCTCCAGCAGAGCGAACATAGCCGGGCTCAGGGGTGCATGCCGTGTGACTCCCGCATGTAATATTCTGGAAAACCGGGGTATAGGGGGGTGGCAGAAAACCGGTCAGTGATTGAGGAGGTGGAGGAGGGGCTGACCACGGGGCACGAGGGGATTTGGGGCTGATGAAACGATTGGCTCTGGGTGTGTGTGTGGGCACACAACCGTGTGTTCTGTCAAAGATTATAAAGCTGTGCACAGAAAGGGTGAGTCATAATCCTGCAGGTACATCATACTCCATGCATATCATACGACAGGTACAGCATACTACAGGCACATCATACTACAGGCACAGCATATTACAGGCACACCATGCTGCGTGTGAATCAGGCCAGGCGAAGGCCCCGATGTGAACTGGGGTCTGCGATGGCATGCGGCGGTCAGGAGAGGGCAGCGGCGGGCGGGGAGGGGAAGTGTTGAGGCCGGTTGGTCGGTCTGTCTGAATGCCGTGGCCCGTGGCAGGTTCCAGTGGTTTGAGCAGCCCGGTGAATGCCACAGGTTTCTGTTCAGAGGCTGCTGTGGTCCGTGGAGAAGCAGAAGCCGCAGGATGTACGGGCCGGGCCCTGCCTCAGCGAAGTTTCCCTGCGCCCACCCCCACTTTTTTTTTTTTTTAAAAGGGTTTTGAATTTATGACCAATATTTAAAACCAGAGCCTTTTCATGGGATTCTGGACCGCTGGCTTCTCTTTGGACGGGACACACACTGTCCAGCCTGCCTAAGCCCACCCCTGCCTGGCCCTCCGGGTGTCAGGCGTGAAAGTGGGTCCCAGGAGCTCAGGGCCCACCCATGCCCAGTCTGAGCCGTGCCCGGCCTGGGCATCCACATGTGTGGGTGTCCCGGTGACCTGAATGTGCAGGCCAGGGGCGGTCGGCAGTGGGGTGGAGACCAGCGGGGTGGAGACCAGTGGGGTGTCGGCTGAGGCGGGGGCTGGGCGGACTGCAGTGGGACACGGGGACTGGGCTCAGACACCTGGGGCGGAGGACACCACCTGCTGCGAGGGGACGAGGAGCAGGCAGGCGGGGAGGGCGGCCCTGCTCCGAGGGCCGTGTGTGCGGCGTCCAGCGCTGCTGTGACCCTGCGTTCTCTCAGCCTGGGGGGCAGGGCCTGTCCTGAGGGGAGGCTTCCCCAGGGCCGTGGCAGACGGGACTCTCAGAGGGGCTTCTCTCCTCTGCCGGCCTGTGGGCGCTCAGGACCCGCTGAGCGACTGCCTGGGGGAAGTCGGGGGAAGAGCCGTCTCCAGGTCCAGCCCCGGTCCTTCCTGGGCTGAGGGGAGCGAGGCAGGGCCCACGTGCCCATGTTACGATGAGCGAGGACAGGAAGCAAACGCTCAGGGCCCTAGACTCTGGTACGTGGCTCTCCCACCTCTGTACGGAAGGGGTTAGCGCTCCCATGTTGCAGACGAGGGAACTGAGGCTTGGGAAGCTTCAGGGTTTCGCCCAGCTTTCAGCGGCAGAGTTGGTGGCTGAGCCCCACCGTATTCGGGGCGCTGGCTTTCTCACCCGCCCCATCGCCGTCCCCTCGGCTGGGCGCACGCACAGACTCACACCTACAACCTCTCCCGGCACCTTTATTGTCTGGGTGTCTCTCAGCTGCCTGCAGGGCCTGGCGGGGTCCTCAGGACTGTTGTGGCCTCCTCGCTCCGGACCCCACTCCCCAGGCCGGTGTGGTGGTTCTCTGAAGGGGGGGCGGGACCCCCACTTCCCCTTAGCAGCGTGCTCGCTGGGCCGGTCTCTGTCACCTTTAAGCACGTGTCGAGGCGTTGTCCTGCCACAGCAGCCCTGCCGGACTCAGGGGGAGCTCAGATGCCGCTGAGAGCAGCGCCCACATCGGTGGCAGCAGCCTTGGGCGATACCCGGCAGGCTCCCTGGCACAGTCTCAGAGCGCTGCGGTGGGTGCTGCGGTGGGTGCTGCGGTGGGTGCTGCGGTGGGTGCTGCGGTGGGTGCTGCGGTGGGTGCTGCGGTGGATGCTCAGGCCATGCTCCTTGCATCACGTGTGCGGCTGGTGTTTGCTCCTTCCGAGCGGCCGCCGGGGCCATCGCTCAGGATGGGGTAGTCCCGGCTGCAGGGGGTCTTAGCAGAGTTGGCACTTGACACGGATAACGCCTGTCCCAGGTGACGCCTCGGCCCTTGGTGGATCCTGTTAGGGCCGGCCTGTCACTCACTGTGTTCGAGGGCTGAGGTTATTGCCACGGGGGTGGGGTGGGGGGTCCGGACACAGGGACTCCCCAAGGCCCTCCTGCTGCTCTGCAGAGGGGGAGCATTCCTCCTGGTCCTGGCGCTCTGGGAAGGTCTTTCCTCCTGGCGCTGGCAGAGCCCCTTGGGGCGGTCACATCTGTGTTGTTGGGGGACTTTCTCGCAGAGGCACGTGCCCCTGTGCGGGCTGCTTCTCCTCGGCGGCCGGGTCCCCGCCGCTGGCCTTGGCCTTGGCGCCGTCCCCGCCGCTGTCCCCGGCCTTGCCCTCCGGGGGGCCGGGGGGGCCCTGTGGCCCGCCCTGCGCGGGGCTGTCCACGTGGACGCTCTGGCAGCTGCTGGTGTGGCTGGTGGGCAGGCTGCTCAGGGAGCCGCCCAGCGTGAGCCCGCTCACCTGGTAGGTCAGGAAGCTGCTGCCAGGGCTGAGGAAGCCCAGGCTGGTGAGGCTGCTGGCCCGGCTGTCGGGGGCGCTGCCCGGCAGGCTGGGCTCACGTTTCCCCTCCAGGCTGCCGGGCGCCGTGGGCGGGGCTGGCCGCCCGGCTCTTCAGCTGTTTGGGGTGGTAGGCGGCGCACAGCCGGCTGGTCTGGGTGCCCACCGCTTGGGTTCCGAGCCTTCTGTTCCACTTGGCGATCCGGGCGCCGCCCACCAGGCTGGCCTCGCTGTTCTCCTCGTCGCCCGCGTAGCCGCTGCTCAGCTGGCTGAGGCGGCCGCCCTTCTCCAGGCTGCCGCGCCGCACGCTCCACACGCTGCTCGCTCTGCTCTCGCTGCTCCCGCTGCTCCAGGCGGGCCCCAGGGCACTGCCGGCGACTCTCAGCGGCTCCTGAGAGGCTCCCGTGTCATGGCGTGGCCGCGGGGTTGGCTGGCGCTCTAAGCAGGGTGACTGGAGGCTTACATCTTGGTCCTGGGCATTACAGCTACAGGAGTCCCCTTTCCTGTCCTGGGGGAGAGTGGGGGGCAGCTGAGCTGGTTTATCCAGCGGGAGGGAGCCCTGGGAGGCCCCTGGATGTTGGGTGTGCCTGTCCAGGGAGGGGAGGCGCAATGTGTCAGGCTCCCTTTCCAAGCAGAGCGCTCTGGTTGGCTGGCCTGGTTCCCACGGTGACGGGCTTTGTGAGGTGTGGGAGTGGGCTGAGGCCACAATGCCCTCCTGGCACTGGTCACAGGGTGGCCGGGCTGGATGGGGCTGAGGTGCCCAGGCAGAGCAGTGAGGGTCCTTTCTGAGGGCCATGGCCTCTGTTTGGCTACGTCGAGGCTGGACGGGCATCCCGGCTGAGGATGCGGCTCCCGAGGACCTCGCTTCGCCGTCGCAGCCTCCCGCTCCTGGCCGCGGCGCTGTGAGAACGGAGAGAATGAGGTCACAGCCGGAGGTCAGCCTAACCCTGTCAGAGCGGCATGGCGGCCTGGTCCCTGTCACACCTCCCCCTCCTCACCTGGGCGCCCAGTCACGCCGGCCGCTTCCTCCTCCCGGTTCCTCCCTGCGCGGGGCCCTGGCCTGCTGTTCCATCGCCTGGAACGCCTTCCGCAGCCCCTGGCCTTCAGGCGGCAGCTCAAGTCCCCCAGCCCCCTGGGGAGGGCCCTTCTCCTATTCTTTACGTCACTCCCTTTGCCAGGGGCCTGTGGTGCTACCGACGATCTGCAGTTATTTTTATGGATTGGTTACTTACTGCCAGTTTCCTTCGCTAGAAAGTCAACTCTGTAAAGGAGGGCGAGGGGGTTCTGACTTCCCATTCTCCGCTCTGCCGGGTGCCCAGCCTGGTGCCCCGTGCAGAGCCTGGCACACAGCGGGTGCTTGCTTTCGGGGTGGGTGAACGAGCTGCCTGGGCAGGGTCGCAACCACCTCGGGATCTTCAACACATGCGGGCTTTCTCCGCCAGAGGCTCCCTCTGGCTGCCCCTCGGAGTCCCCAGGGGCCTGGGTCCAGGTGCTGGGGTGAGGCTCTGGCATCAGAGTTATAAGGAGCTCCGCAGTGATTGCCCTGGGCCCCAGTGCCCAGACGCTGGGCTGCGGGAAAGGCCGCTCCGTGCTCTGCAGGCCATTCTCTGAGCACGCTGAGGAGGGGTCATAGGGAGGGCACCCCACCGGGCACCTGCAGACACTCAGTAGGTGCTCATTGACGGACTGACTGAAGGAAGAAGGGCATTGATCCCTAAGGTCTTTAAGGACTTGGGGAATTAGTTGACATGGTATGCCAAATCTTCAATGCGGGACACACATGCTTTCCCCTCCCCTGGGGAACAGTCACAGCTTCCGTCAAACTCTCAGGTGCTCATGGTCCCCAAACCACCAAGAAGCAGAAGATCCAGCGCACCTCTTGCCCCAGGGTTGGGAGATGGTGCCCTGGCGCTTGGCCGGACTGTGACCCCTCTGGGGGGCAGCTGGTGCTGCGTGGGGCCCGGGGCGGGGAGAAGCAGGCGCTCCTGGGAGAGCCAGCCGCTCGGCCTGCCGCTCTCCAGCAGGTGTCTGCTCAAGTGTCTCAGACTGCAGCCTCAGTTTCCCCATTTGTAAAGGGAGGCAACTCTATCAGTGTGCCTCCCTGCCCGGGCTTTGGGGTGCAGGGGGGAGGGGGGGCCAGGATTTTTGAAGAAGAAAACACTGCAGGGGCCGTTAATTGTCCGTGGAGCCTGCCAGGGGGCTCCCTGGTGCTTTTCCGTTAGCACCCAATTAGCAGGAGCCCCGGGACCCTGAGAAGCCGGGAGGCCAGAGGCCTTTTCATCAGGTTATTCCTCGGGGCTCGCAGGGAGGAGGGATTATTGGCAGGAAACGAGGATATAAAACTTGAGCACCTCAAGGAGGCACTTGGAAGCTGGCCAGCAGGCCGGCTCATTTGTAATGGCCCAGGACCGCAGTTCATCTGTTTAATTCAAACGAGGTGACATAATATCTTTCATTCGGACTGATTACCGGCGCCGCGGTGCTCCGGCTCCCAGCATCCTCCGGGAGGACATTCTGTCGTTACTGCCCATTTTCTCTCTCCGGCCAAATTGAAAGCCTGTGGGAAGGGCTGCAGCCCCTGCGAGGAGCGATCATCGGAGAATAGGTCACACCGGGCATCAAGGAATGAAAAGGAGTTCATTCTTTCCTCCGTTGAATAAGCAGCTGGACTGGGGTCTCTGTGATCCGTGAAATAGGCTGTCAGGAGAACGGGAAGCGGGCGTCTGCGCCTCCCGTGGATGCTGCCCCTCGTCTCAGAGGCCGATGCTGCCGCCGGGAACAAGCTGGGAAAGGGGGGGCCCACATTGTGGGGCCCAATGGGTGCCTGACGCCTGGCCTCATGGGCCCCGGGAGGAGGGAGATGCATTAGTGCCCCCATTTTGTGGATGAGAACAACAAGGCTCAGAGAGACCCAGGGCCTTGCTCAAGGTCACCAAGGCACAGACCTGCTCCAGCCCGGGGTGCGGACGGAGCCCTGGGGATGAGGGTTTGGCCCCAGGAGCCTCCAAGCCTCTTCCTGCGGGCCAGCTGCCCAACATGCAGGTCAGCCTCCCATGCGGTTGGAACACCCCGTTCCCGGGCCTGCGTGCGGGCCTAACAAGGGAGCGGGCGGAAGGGCTCAGTGCGGGGCTGAGCACACGGATTGCTCCCAATGATGTCTTTGTTACTGTGAACTCCACCTTTTCATTCCTCGGGGGACAGGATGAGCTGGTAGCCTGGGAGGCGAGGGGTTGGCCCAGGGCGTCGTGCACGTGGGGGTGGGGCTGGGATCAGCTCCTTCCATCGACCCAGGAGTCCTGTTTTTTCTGCTACACCGGGGAGTGGAAGTCTGGGCTGCGACAGGGTTTGAGATGTTTCTTAAGGAATGGCCCCCTTCTCTGCTGTATTTCTCTCCATCACAGCTTTTGGGTTAGACTCAGCTCTTTGGTTCATTGTTTATCTCCCATCAGTCCCAGCGTCTCCCTGAGGGAGGGTTTAGACTAGTTCACTCTGCATCCCAGGCCTCGGGCCAGGGCTGGGGCAGAGGGCGGGCAGAGGAGCAGGTCCTGGAAGGGCAGGCTGAGATCCTGTCTTTAGATAAAATGTGGTTATTTTGTTCATTGCAGGCATTTTTGCGTTGATACCTATTTTTAATAATACCGCATTAAAATATCACTAATCTTGATTAGGAGTTCTTGCCCTCTCTGGGATTTTTCCCCCGAGGTGAGAGCCTCCTCTGCCTCCCCCTGGACCTAGCTCTGCCCAGAGTGGTGCCTGCCACCGACTTACCCATAGTGCCCTGTCAATACTGGGACTCCTTTCTGGAGTTTCCCAGGGGTGGGGGGCATCTTCCAGTGGGATCCAAGGGACTTGGACCCCAAACTGAGTTTCTTCCATCTGGCTCCATAATTGGGGGACAGCTGAGTATCTCTGATAAGGGGGAGCTGAGGACCGAGGTCATGACCCTTCCAGGATCTGACTGTGGAACCAATTAGAACTCGGCTCTCTCAGAGTGACTCCGGGGAAATGAATGTGAGAACTTCAGGGCCCCGGGAGCCTGTGCAGAATCCCACGTGGTCCTTGCGACCTTCACACCCCCCTCTCCTGGATGCTGCTTGCAGTTAGGAGCCACGTCGGGTGTCCTGATGGTTGGTCGTTAGTGTAATGAGATCTGGCTGTGCAGTGACGCTGTCCCTTCTCAGGCCCAGCCAGTGCGACACCCTGATAGCCCACTTCAGTGGAATTTCAGACCCTGCCTCTGCCTCTGTCTTTATTCCCTTCAAGGCTGAGGTTTCACCAAGATGCATTCTTATAATTAAGGTGGGAGTGAGAAATCACCTCCTCTGTAATTTGAAATGGTAAAATTATTGATACCACTTTCCACCTTAGCTTTAAATCTCAGCCACCAACGACTCCCCTATTAACGGGCCTAATTAAATCCATTTTTCAGGACGTCTTTGGCAAATTCCATTTTAGCAAAACTGTAGAAAGTGCAGTTTGATTTGTCTCTGCTCCCCAGGGCACCCCTCTGAGAGTGAAGAGGGGTGGGTGCCTGCATCGCCTGTCTTATGCTAATTCACTCAACAGTTCCTCATGGAACACCTGCTTTGTGCATTGGCCATGAACTAGGGGAGGAGAAGGGAGCAGCTAAAGGACAATACAGTTCCTATCCTATGGCCAGAAGGGAATGGGGATGGGGATCATTCATTCATTCATTCATTCACTTGTTCATTCATTTATTCAACGAACACATTGCATCATCAAGGAGGGGCCACTGTTCTCAGCCCGGTCCCTAGAGATGAAGGACCACCCTGTAGAGGGCCACCTGGGAAGACACCTGGACATTCTTTAGATTGTTGCTGACTGGGCCCCGGGATATTGGCAGAGTCATGTCAGTTGCACTCCCGCCCTGGAATGTGGAGATGTTCTTAGTTCCTGGCTTGTGTTTGTCCGGGAGGAAGGAGTGGGTGGGACCTGGGCTCTCCCGGGCTCCTTGTTTTCCTGTGAAACCCCTTGGTGGATTGGAGGATAAATAGATGTGCTGCTGGCTCAGGAGGTTGTCAGTCAGTCTCTCCAGCAGAGGAGGTCGGCGGCCCTCCCAGCTCCCAGCTTAAAATCTATCTCTGTGTCTTCTCTCTTTATTTCTAATATTTCTCAATCCCTGGGCACCTCCACGTAGAACTGGTTCGTTCATCTCTCTTTCCACGCGGGACATGGAAAAGGGAGATCCCCACAGCTTCAGCCCCCCTGCATTCTGGCGCCCAATGTGGGGCATGAGCCAAAAGAGGCAACAAGAGGCAAGGCAAGGGATCGCTCCCTAGAATTGCTCGCGCCACAGATTTAAGGAACTGTAAGGTAGAGGGAATGTATTGTTGTGAAATTGAAGTAGCTGGGAGTAAAACATGGGTAATCCTTATAAATGCTTTAAACTACGCTCATGGCTCAAAGAGATTCTGTTAAGGTAGTCAGATTGTTGATTTCTTTCTTAAAATTTATTGACGAAACCTGTGAAAAGGTTAGAAAGCAGTTGCGTGGCCAGTAGTCAGCAGAAAGTCCAGAGAAAATTCCTATTCCTACTTTATGTTTTGATTCAGCTCAGGAGAGTTTAAGAATGTCTAAGTGGGGTGCAGCCACGACCTTACACGACCTGGAGTGGAAGGGTGCAAATCTTTAAGAATACCATCTGCACCTTCTCCACCTCCACGTGTAAAGTACTTATAACCAAGTATCTTAAAATCTTTTTCTTTCCTTAAAAATAAAAATAAATAAAAATGGAAAAGGTAATAAAATAAAAAACGATAAACGACACCATTCCTCAAAAAAGCCACTTTAAGAGGCCTCATATTCACCATC